CAAGAAGCTACTAGGGGCTCCTGGCCTTACTACTAGCAAGGACGCTACTAGGGCTCCTGGCCTTACTACTAGCAAGGACGCTACTAGGGGAGTTTGATATTTAGGGAAACTTTACGTGCGACGCATAGGTTTCCAGGTTCAATTCATTCGATGTTTGAAATTGATGCTGCGTTCAACCTGACATCTTGCACTGTCCTGATGTGTTTCTTGATGGGCATCTTCACCTGTCCAAATAACCGTGGCACACCAGAGCTGCACAAGTCAGTGAGGTCAAAAGCTTTAGTCTAAGTGAAAGTCTAAGAACCAAGATGATCGTGCCAGGGTCCTGCATCCCAGCCACCTCCCGACATCTCTCCTTTAACGCTAAATCGCACTTGCCCGACCCCATTGACACATTGACTTCTCATTTTTGCTAGGTTGGAGAAGCCATCACGAACGGAAACGGAGCGCGCTACGAACGGAAACGGAGCGCGCCTCGACTCTGCCGACATGGCACCCGAAACACGGTTCGACTCGGTCCGATCCGAGAGTCCGAGACCGTCCTTCGAACTGTTCAAACACCGTCCTTGAGCCCGGCTTGCGGACGCTAGTACAAGTGCCACGCTAGTAGTAACAGGTGCCTTACTAGTAGTAACAAAGTTCGCTATTAAACTTAATTCTAATTTTAATAGCAAACATTGTTACTAGTAAGGCACTTGTTACTAGTAGCGATGCACTTGAATAGCCTCCCAAAGAGCATAGAAAAGAGAGGTTTGCTTCTCTTATTCAGAAAGAAAGAAACAGTGTGCTCGGCCCGCTTTTTTCTGTCGGTGAGTTTCCCTCTCTGAAACAAGAGTGCAAGTCCTTCAGCCTTTGAGCATTGCACCAGGATGCGCCAAGTTTGTCTGTTGGAGGCCATTACTCTTAGGTTGGAGGGTCACTCAAAAGAAGATTCCTTTTTTTTCTTTAAATTAATAGCTTCTTGTTACTAGTAGTAAGGCACTTGTTACTACTAGCGTGGCACTTGTTACTAGTAGCTTATTAGATTTCTTTGTTTTCAGGTGTGAAGAAGTGTTTCTGCAAACAAATCGACGGCTTCAAATGACCCCCGTTGAGGGTGTGCTTCGACCAGCTCGGCCTCACTTCTTGGAACGGTTGAACCTGAAAAGTGCTTTGACACTGTAGTAGCTTCTAGCCACTAGTAAGAATGCTACTAGTAGTGATGCCAGGAGCCCCTAGTAGCTTCTATCTACTAGTAGCGATGCACTTGTTACTAGTACCGACTGAACCACGCGAATCAGTTTCAAGGGCACGATACATGCAAATCAGTTTGCAACTGGAATCATTGCTGCTACTTTCAGGTCTTCTGAAGATGAGTTCACAATCACTGCACTTGTGAAGGCTATTGGTGAGATCGTTTGGGGAACTTGGATGATTGATGTGTGTGTTAGTTCTGTCATAGCGGCATAGCGGCAGCCACACTGAATAAGTCTTGAGTAGATGTTGATCATGATTGCGTTGATCGTGTGAGCTTGCTGCTTCTAGTAACAAGTGCCTTACTAGTAGAAACAAGAAGCTACTAGTAACA